ATATATATATATATATATATATATACACACACACACACACACACACACACACATACATGCACACACACATATATATACATATAGATATAAATATACATATACATACACGCACACACATATATATGTACATATACATAAAAAAAAAAATATATATATATATATATATATATATATATATATATATATATATATATATATATATATATATACACACACACACGTGCGCACACACACACAGACCGACCGTGGAAAAAACAGAGGTGGAGAGAAAAAGAGAGGAAGAAGATGAAGAACAAGAAAAACAAAGAAAGGAGAACAGAAATAAAAGAATAAAAAGGAAAAAGGAGAACGAGAACAACAAAAAGAAGATAATAATGAATACGAAGAAAGAAGACGAGATAGAAAAGAAGAAGGAGAAGAAGAAGAAGACCAAAAAGTAGAGGTGGAAAGGGGAAGCAAAATAAAGAGAAAAATAATTCAGTGACGTGGGTTATACGTTCACTTGTAATTAATAACGCTTACGATGCTAGACAGAAGTGCCATGATCTCTTTTTGACATTTTCAAGTCGATCTTCAAAGGTTATATAAGTGAATGGCCGACTTGATGACGCAAGTGGGTAGGATTTAGCCGGGGAAGGGCAGGTCAGTGACGTCATAGCACAAGTTCGAGATGAGGTATATAAAGCCTTGAATATCTTCTATTTTCAACATTACTTACCACTACCATGAAGTTTGTGGTAAGTTTTGCATACACAGTAATTCTGCAATAACTTGAGTATACATACATTTTTTATTAATAATTTTCTGTAACAAATACACGCATTAAGGTTACAACGTAGATACAAACATAAATACACACACACACATATATAAAGATGCATATGTATATATATATATATATATATATATATATATATATATATATATATATATATATATATATGTATATATATATATATATGTATATATATATATATATATATATATATATATATATATATATATATATATATATATATATATATATATATATACAGAAATACATGAACATACATAGGCAGACATACAGATGCGATATACATTCAAAAATACACACACACATATATATATACATATATACATATAATGTTAACACACACACAGATATATGAATATATATATATATATATATATATATATATATATATATATATATATATATATATATACACACACACACACATTTATGTGTGTGTGTGCACTATATAAATCACTGATACTATTAATGTTTTATCTTCTGGAATAATATCCATATATGTTATTCCTTGCAGACACTGTTGGCGCTATTGGGTGCAGCTTTTGCAGCTCCTCAAGGATATGATTTGACCTCTCCGTCTGGAGGAGGACACACTCATGGGGGAGCTGGAGGCAACGGTGGTGGTGGTCACGGAGGCGCTGGTGGTGGCCATGGAGGCGCTGGTGGTGGCCATGGAGGTGGATGTCAAGACGGGCAAGTCCTGCACGTCGATGGGTCATGCGTGACTCCTGTGATTACCAGGAAGGTCTACTTATACGATGCTCCTGATGTTCCAGAGGGACCACTTGGTCCACCTCCGAGCGTGCCACCTCCTCAGGTTGAACACAACATCGTCTTCGTGCGTCTTCCCGAAGTTGCTCCTCCACCAGAGCCCGTCATCATTC